AGAACCCCCCCTTGTGGCGTCAGCCCAGGGAGCCCTGTCAACTCCGGTGGCTGAGACAAAGGTGCGGCACAGTTGCAGGGAGAGCCAGGCCGTGACAAGCTCCAGGCCTGCCATCAGAGCCCTGGTTTTCAGTGCATCCTGCCACTTAGAGCCATGGCAGATACTTCCTTCTCTGGGCTTTTGGCTGTCTAATCTAGGGGATTTTGGTGGTTTTCAAACTTTTTGTTCCATCGCCAGAAGCCTTGGCTTCCCAAAGTGCTGGGATTACAGACATGAGCCACCGCGCCTGGCCCCCGTTTTGTCTTTTCGTATCTCCCTTTCCTACTCATCCTGCTAGTGCACAGAGAGGCCACATCCTTTTATTCTAGGTCCTCAGCCCTTTCCCTTGCCTTAGCTGGCAGGGCCCTCCTCATAGACTCCCCACCTCAGTTGGCCCCTGGATTTGTCCAGAAGAAGCACTGACCATCTTTTCCCCTGACCACCTCCCAAAGGGCCTCCTCTTGTCTCAATTAGAAAGCCCACCCAGGCCGGGCGCGGTGGCTCACGCCTGTAATCCCAGCACTTTGGGAGGCTGAGGCAGGCGGATCATGAGGTCAGGAGATAAGACCATCCTGGCTAACATGGTGAAACCCCATCTCTACTAAAAATACAAAAAATTAGCTGGGCATGGTGGCGGGCGTCTGTAGTCCCAGCTACTCGGGAGGCTGAGGCAGGAGAATGGCGTGAACCTGGGAGGCAGAGCTTGCAGTGAGCCGAGATCGCGCCACTGCACTCCAGCCTGGGCGACTGAACGAGACTCCATCTCAAAAGAAAAAAAAAGAAAGCCCACCCAACCTGTCCTATTTGCCTCTTAGTTTTTTTCCTCTCTGAAGCCCTCAGAGCCCTTAGAACTGCCCCCAGCAACGAGCTGCGGTTCAGAATCCTGCCTTTCCCACTCCCATGGACGCTCACAGTATCAAACTCTCCCTGCCCTGGAGCTTTAGAATCTGCTGCATTATATCCAGAGAATCTGCTTGATCAAACTGCTCCTAAGTCTGGGTCCTTTATTAATCCACAGGGATTCTGAAGAGTCTCCCATCTCCTGGGGAGGGGGTGATGGAGGAAGAGTCAGAAGGCCCAGTGTCTAGTCCTGGTAGAGCTCGTTCAGGTCAGCAAGGCCTGCGGCAGGCCACGGCTCCAGCTGAGAAAATCAGGAGGCAGCTAGGCATGATGGCTGACACCTGTAATCCCAGCACTTAGGGAGGCTGAGGTGGGAGGATTGCTTGAGCCCAGGAGTTCGAGACCAGCCTGGGTAACATGGTGAAACCTCACCTGTACAAAAAACACAAAAATTAGTCGGGCTGGGTGTGCTGGCGTGCGCCTACAGTTCCAACAACTTGAGGGGGCTGAGGCGGGAGGATCACTTGAACCCCAGAGGTAGAAGCTGCAGTGAACTGAGATTGCACCACTGCACTCCAGCCTGGGTAACAAAGTTAGACCCTGTCTTAAATGAAAAGAAAAGAAAAGAAAAAATCAGGAGTCAAGAACATTCCACTGAGGACCTCTTAGCTCAGCTCTGCTCCTTTCAAAGAGAAAAGCCTCAGCAGTTACTAGGGGAGCTTTGCTCATGTGGAAGTCCCTGGTTCATCAGAGAAATTGTGTCTTTTATGCAAATTGACCCAGCCATCACTAACTCATAAACCGTCTGTAGCAAATGTGGTCATTCATCGTAAAGACTAAGTTTGACTAAAATTTTTGTTGATTTCTTCTCTCTTCCACAGGGCGGTCCAGGGGGTTCCAGCACTGGATTTGGAAACTTTGAGGAAATTGGGCCCCTTGACAGCGATCTCAAACCCCGGAAAACCACCTGGGTACAGTGAGGACGGTCCTGAGCTAAACCTTGCCCCGTGGTCTCTCAGAGGCCCTGCCCAACTCTTGGAGGGGCCACAGATGTAGCAATCCCTCACCATCCCTTTCCTCGTCCTGTGACTACTGAGGCCATGGGCACTTGTCCGCAGGTCTCCTCTCTGGCCCAGCTTCTCCCATTTCTCAGGACAACTTATCTTGCCCCAGTCTGCCTCGCTTTCTCCAAGACAACCCCTCTCTCCAGCTGCCTTCAAAAACTTACTACAGCAGACACCTGGGACCCTGCGTTACCCATGCTGGCCATTTCTGCAGTCTCAGACACCAGGGTTGCACCCTCCAGCCACAGCCCCCAGTCCTTTTCTCTCTCCTCTCCTCCTACTTGTATCTTGACTTCCTCTTTCGATGTCTCTCTTGCTCTCCTGCTCACACCTCCCCCTCATTCTTAGCATCTCTTCCTTCCCTCACCCCTCTGTGGTCAACTCCCGTATCCTTCTCCCTTTACAGCCTTGGGTCACTCCCACTGTCCACCTGCTTAGCCCTGACGCCCAGGCTGCCCATGATCAGAACTGCGCACCCGCCCTACGGCTGCTACACAGTGTCGGCCCCACTCAGGGCTTGTGGCTATTCCTCTCTCTGTGCTCCGGCTCTCCCGGCTGCACCTATTGCTATGAATGTTCTCCACTTTCCTCAGTGCTCCTCCTCCAGCCTCCCTCTCACATTGGGAGCTAAGCTTTCTGGTCTTTCTTTCTTTTTTTTCTGAGAATGGAGTCTCTGTCGCCAAGGCTGGAGTGCAGTGGCGCAGTCTCGGCTCACTGCAACCTCTGCTTCCCGGGTTCAAGCGATTCTGCTGCCTCAGCCTCCCAAGTAGCTGGGACTACAGGCGTGTGCCACCACACCGTGGTTAAATTTTGTGTATTTTTTAGTACAAAAGAGATGGGGCGTTTCACCATGTTGGTCAGCTGGTCTCGAACTCTTGACCTCGTGATCTGTTCCACCTCGGCCTCCAAAGTGCTGGGATTACAGGCGTGAGCCACCGCGCCCGGCCACTTTCTTGTCTTTCTTAACGGGTTCTACTCTGGCCTCACGGTCTTTGTACAGCTGTTCCTCCCTGGCCTGGGCCTTCCCTCCTGTACTTGGTTCCAACAGAAATCTCACTTGCCAGGGAGTGTTGTAGAAGTCAATCCCCACCTTCACCCCCCATCCCAACTTGTTCTCCAACAAGCCTTCTGGGAACAAAAGGGACCATATGTGTATGGACCGAGGTCCGATCTGGTGGCTGGCACTGCCTGTTCCAATTTTGGTGACCTTAGACACAATTCGGGCTCGTTGGGCTTTATTTTCTCATCAGCCAGGGAACATGACTGGCGTGTCATTAATTCGCGCTTTATAATGAAATTTTGATAACATCCTCAGACCGTCTTGGGGTTTAGATATTCTGTTTCTTGCGTGTACAGAGAAACCAGGCCAAATGTGGAAAAATTGATGCATTGTAAGAAACACGATGTGTGTCCACATTGGAGTGTCTCTGGCTCTTCGAGTTAGTGCATAGAACTGTCGCTGCGTGCCCTTTCTGCGATAGTGTTACATTTAGTACATTGTAAATTGTGTGAAAAAGCAACAGCCAGATTATTGATTCCGTGTGTGTTAATCCTTCCGTCTTGCCTCTTTTTTTCTGGGGGGGGTTGGCGGGGGGGGCGGGCTCTTTTTTTTTGTTTTTTTTTGTTTTGTTTTGTTTTTTTCCTATGCTCCTGTCCCTTATTTTTAAAAATCTCTTTTGGCAACAGGGATATCATCACCACACTGTTATCCTCACTATGTGGGTTTTGCTGAGCTAGTAGAAAATGATCCAAAGATAATTGGTGACCAAACAACTGATTGCAACATTTCATTTTCCTCTGTGGCACATAGCTCCAGGCCGCCAGTCTCCTATTTGTGGATAATCCTGTGGGCACTGGGTTCAGTTACGTGAATGGTAGTGGTGCCTATGCCAAGGACCTAGCTACGGTGGCTTCAGACATGATGGTTCTCCTGAAGACCTTCTTCGATTGCCACAAAGAATTCCAGGTAAGCAAAGACTGAGGAACAGCTAAGTAAAGGGTTGGCAATAGCAACTCTATATCCATCAGCATAAACCTGAACTGCCTCCAGAGTTTAATGCCTAGCTGATTTCTGAGAAAACCTTTTTATTTCCAAGATTGGGTTGTGAATTTTTGTTTCTGTCATCTTTAAAGTTGATATTTAACTTGAAAGAATGACCCTGGAATGGGCATTCTAGTCAGATATAATAATCAGATTGGAGTGATGGGGGAGGAAGACAAAGCAGATTTGTTTTTTCTGGCCATTACATGCAATAGAAATTTGAAATTAATTTGCGTGACTCAAAAAGCAATCAAGGTTGTTAATTCTGTGTAAATTCCTTTTCTTACTAGACAGTTCCATTCTACATTTTCTCAGAGTCCTATGGAGGAAAAATGGCAGCTGGCATTGGTCTAGAGCTTTATAAGGTAATGGAAAATAACTTTGTTGTTATGGTTTTGGACAGAAAATCATGTTACTTTTATATGCACATGTGATATTAAATACACTTTGAATAGGGCCATGTACATGCAGAGTAAGATTAAATCTGTAGTAATAATCATGAAAAGTTTTTAAAAGAAGAGTGAAGATTGCCCTACTAGATCTGGAACAAGATATAAAGCTTGAGTGAGTAAAAGAATGTGGTACTGACATAGCAACAGACAAATAGATTAATTGCAACAGGATACAGAATCCAGAAACACGCACATATATATGTATGTATATCATATATTTGTATTATATGTATATGATCATATATAAATATAAGATAACACTTCAAATCATTGAGGCATGGATAGAATGTCAATAAATGTTATGGAGACAAATGTCTATCACTTTGGAAAATAGAAAACTTGTATTCTTGCCTTGTATAAAATATAAATTCTGGATAGATTAAAATCTAAACTTAAAAATAAAAATTGAGACAGAATGCAGTGGCCCATGCCTATGATCCCAGCACTTTGGGAAGACCAGGCAGGAGAACCGCTTGTGACCAGCAGTTCCAGACCAGCCTGGGCAACGTAGCGAGATCCTGTTTCTATTAAAAAAAAAAAAAAAAATCAACCAGGCACAGTGGCTCCTGGCTGTAATCGCAGCTACTTGGGAGGATGAGGTGAGAGGATCGCTTGAGTTCAAGAATTTGAAGCTGCAGTGAGCTGTACTGCGCTCCAGCCTGGGTGACAGAACAAGACCATGTCTCAGGGAAAAAAAAAAACACAAAAAAAACAACAATGTCCTAGTAGAAAAATGGGCAAAGACAAATGTGGACAAGCAATTTATAAAAGAAATATAACAGCCTTTAGACATATGAAAAATCTTCAACTTTTATTAGTAAGCCAAGTCCATGAGATTTGTAAATATTTAAAAGACTGATAACACCCAGTTTTGGTAAGAAGTCAGGGAAATAAGTGTTCTTGTGCACTTTTGATGGGAATACAAATTAATTTAAACTTAAAAGGACAATTTGACAATGTCTGTCAGTTTTTTAAATGTATGTGTCGGCCGGGTGCGGTGGCTCAAGCCTGTAATCCCAGCACTTTGGGAGGCCGAGACGGGCGGATCACGAGGTCAGGAGATCAAGACCATCCTAGCTAACCCGGTGAAACCCCGTCTCTACTAAAAAAATACAAAAAACTAGCCGGGCGAGATGACTAGTCCCAGCTACTCGGGAGGCTGAGGGAGGAGAATGGCGTAAACCCGGGAGGCGGAGCTTGCAGTGAGCTGAGATCCGGCCACTGCACTCCAGCCTGGGCGACAGAGCAAGACTCCGTCTCAAAAAAAAAAAAAAAAAGTATGTGTCATTTGACCCAATAATTTTATCCTATGGGAATACTTATACATATGTGTATGTCAGTGAATGTTTATTATGCCATTGTTTATAATGTTCATAAACTGAAAACAGCTGGTTGGCTGTCAGTAAAGGATTGCTTAAATAAAGTAGGTACATCTTTCCAAGATGAAATGCTTTGCAGCCAGTGTAAAGAATGGATCCAGGCGGGCGCGGTGGCTCATGCCTGTAATCCTGCTCATGCGTGTAATCCTGCTCATGCCTATAATCCCAGCACTTTGGGAGGCCAAGGTGGGTGGATTGCTCGAGGTCAGGAGTTGGAGACCAGCCAAGCCATGTTGCCCAGGCTAGCCTCGACCCCCTGGGGTCAAGTGATCCTCTGAGCTCAGCATCCTGAGTATCTGGGACTATTAGGCATATACCACCATGCCCCACTAATTTTTTAACTTTTTGTAGAGATGGGATCTCACTACATTGCCTAGGTTGGTCTTGAACTCCTAGGCTCAAGCGATCCTCCTGCCTCAGCTTCCCAAACTGTTGGGATTACTGCGTGAGCCACTGCACCTGGCCTGAGGGCATTTCTTGTTTCCTCTTTCAGGCCGTTCATCAAGGGACCATCAAGTGCAACTTTGCCGGGGTTGCCTTGGGCGATTCCTGGATCTCCCCTGTTGGTAAGTCTGGCATTTTCAGGCATTTCTTCACTCCTCTTTGCCCATGCTTTCCTGGGACTTTGGGCTGTGTTGTCCAAATCAAAGGGCTAAGCAGCAGAACGTTCTGGCCCCTTAGAGAAAGTGTTTGCTGCATCCAAGAAATATAGAGACAGAGCACCTACCATGGACCACTAAGGGCTAAACTGAGTTTTCCTAATTTAATTATCACAACAAAAGGATCAAATTTTACATTTGGAGGCATTCTAAAGACTCAGAGAGGTCATGAAATATGCTCTCTGCAACATAGGATGAGTGGCCTAGTCAGGATTCAAATCCAGGTCTGTGTGGCTCAGTACAAAGGCAAATCTGTTTTGTCATCCGCCCCCTCTACTTCCCTGATGCTGACATAAGCATTTGGCGTGAAATTTCCATCTGTTATACATATTGATGGCAAGACAAGGTTATCGTCTGGTCTTACAACTCAGAGGTGTGCAGTTTCGTAATTGAGCATCCGTGTTGCGAGCATAAATAAGAGTTGTTTATGTTGCAGACACCCAGGGTGTGGTTCCAGGCATCTGAAACAATCATCCTGGTGGCAATCACTCTAACACAGGATTTCTCAGCACTATTGACATTGTGGGTCATATAGTTCTTTTTGTGGGAGGCTGTCCTGTGCATTGTAGGATACTACCAGCAGCATCCTTGGCCTCTACTCAAGAGATGCTAGTAGCACCACCCCAGTGTGACAACCAGAAATGTCTCCCTGGGGAACAAAACCATCCCTGATTGAGAACCATTGTTCTAACCTAACAAAACGTGATTTTCCCCAGGCAAAACCAAACTACGGAGTTAGAAATCAGAAGAGAGGCTGCCTAGGGGCAAGGGCGGGAAATAAGCATGAAAGGGACATGAAGGAACTATATCTTGATTGCAGGGGGTGGTTACACGGGCATATGCATTCATCAAAACTCTTCCGAAGGTACACTTGTGATTTGTGATTATGACTCAGTTTTAAAAATAATCATTTATAAAAGGTAATATTTCCCCCTAAAAGGTAGGGATTCGCTTGTTACAGAGCCATGTTCCCAATAACCATTACAACTTGGAACGGTTATTTCTTGCCCTCATGTTTGCCATCTGCGGGGTAGGACTGAAGTAGCATAAAACTGAGTCAGCATGAAGACGAGGGCTGCTGTTTGTTTATCTGTTTTTCCTTCCTGGGTGGATCTCATAGGACATCATAAAACTGCAAAAGCCTAGGTCAGAAGCATGAGTGTTTCTTGTCAGATGCTGCTCTTTTGTTCAAGTTGATGACAAGACAAAGTCTCCATCAGGTCTTGGCAACCCAGAGGTGTGCTATTTCATAACTGAGCATCCTCATTGGGAACACAGATAAGAGTTGTTTATGACTCAAAATTATGATGCTGGCCCTCTCACTTCCTCATGGGGTCTTCTCAGTTTCACAATAGCACTAAGTACTTTGCATGTGGTAACTTCATGTAATCCTTACAACAATTCCATGGGATGGATGCTATTGTTATCCTAATTTTGTGAATGATGAAACTGAGACTCAAGAGAGGTTAAGCAACTTTCTTGGAGTCACCCAGCTAAATGGTAAAACTGGGATTCAAATCCAGGCAGCAGGTACTGGAATCCAAGCAACCTAACCACCTTGCTACACTGTCTCTCCAAGATCAGTAGCTTTGCTTCCTGGCTTTGCAAGTGTTTTTCCTCCTGTTTGGAATCTACCTTTTCCTCCTTGCCGTGACCCACTTTACCTTATGAGTCTGTTTGTCTGGATTGTAATCCATCCTTCCAGATCCACTTTAAGTATTGCCCCTCTATACTAGAAACATTGGTTTTTGAGGGAGAAGTATTGTTAATTTCCACGAACAATTGTTAATTGCTTTCTAAGTAGTAGATACTGTTCTAGGTGCTAGGCAAAGACACATGGATATGCTCCTGGTCTTCAAGAAGGTCTTGATCTGCACTGTCACTAAGCCCGTGTGACCATGTCAGTATGGTAACCACTTGTCACATGTGACTATATAAATTTAATTATAATTTTTAAATACAATTTCAGTTTTTCAGTGGCACTCTCCACACCCAAGTGCTCCATAGACACATGTGGCTATTGGCTAGCATTTTGGACTGCACAGATATGGAACACTTCCATTACTGCAATAAGTTCTATTGAACAACGCAGGCCTACTTCAAAGGTTGGTAAACAAGGGCCCATGAGTCAAGTCTGCCCTGCCGCCTGCTCTGGTAAATAAGTTTTTTCTTGTTTGTTTTTGTTTGTTTGTTTTGAGACCAAGTTTTGCTCTTGTTGCCCAGGCTGGAGTGCAATGGTGCGATCTCAGCTCACTGCAACCTCCGCCTCCCAGGTTTAAGCGATTCTCCTGTCTCAGACTCCTGAGTAGCTGGGATTACAGGTTCCTGCCACTATGCCTGGCTAATGTTTTCGGTATTTTTAGTAGAGATGGGGTTTCACCATGTTGGCCAGGCTGGTCTCCAACTCCTGACCTCAGGTGATCTGCCCGCCTCGGCCTCCCAAAGTCCTGGGATCACAGGCGTGAGCCACCGCACCTGGCCGGTAAAAGTTCATTTACTGTCTGTGGCTGTTTGGAGACTGTAAGAACACAGTTGAGTAGTTGCAACCGAGATAGGCTGGCCTACAGGGCCAAAATTATTTACTATCTGCCCTTTTACAGAAAGGTTACCAATCTCTGGCCCAGATCAAACAGGAAGTGGGATGCATTGGAGAACTGCAACCAACCCTGTTTCAAGAAACTAAGGCACAAGTTTGAAGGTTAAGCCCAGGAGGTGATTAACAGCTAGGCCACGGAAGTCCTGGTGTGCCTGCATTTCTCACAGTGTACTCTAAAAGAATACCAGTCTAGGCCAGGCGTGGTGGTTCACACCTGTAATCCCAGCACTTTTGGGAGACCAAAGCGGGCGGATTGCTTGAACCCAAAAGTTTGGGACCGGACTGGGCAACATGGACTTAGTTCCTGCAGAACTAAGACTACTTGAAACCTACTTTGAGACACTTTGCCTTAAGGAGCCATTGAATACTTTTAAGCTAAGGAGAGACATACTCAAATGTGCTTTGTAAGTTGAGGTCCTTGATTCTTTGTTGGCATGTCTTTCAATAGCACTTGTCTTACCTAGTGATACAGTATTTAATAGTTGTGAGCTTGTCTAAACCAAGGTCAACTACTGTTCTCTTTAAGGACAGGCATTATGTTACTCACAGTTATATCTTAAACTTTTGCTGCCTCCAGACCCTTAGTAAATTCTCAATGTGTTTGTGGGATGGGAATGAGCCAATTGGCAATATAGCCACTTGCGTTTTTGCAAACTCATTAGTCATCTTCCTTACTCAGCTCCTTGGCAGAACCTAATATCTCCAAACTGGAGGAGCAAATAAGATGCAGAGCAGAAATGTGAGGGTGGAGAAATATTTTAAGCTATCAAAAGGCCTACAGGTCCACAGATAAGAGCCTCCACCTGCATACCTACAGCCTGCCTGTGGGGATGCTGTCACCGGCAATGGCTCACTTGCTGGGCCAGTATCAGGCCAAATTAATGTGCCATTAGTCTAAAGAGTCAACAGACAGGCCCTCACACCCTCATCCCACCTTCCAGCCACTGTGTCATCAGCCCGCCTCCTGCATGGGTACAGGTGATTTAAGGGGCCTTCCCATCCAAAGCTACCGGGTTTCTTGCTTCTGTCTCTTTCTTCTTTGGAGAGAAGACAGTTAGGTTTGTCTTTGGAAAGACAGAGGTGTGACATACTTGATTTGTACATATGTGGTTTCCTTTAGATTCGGTGCTCTCCTGGGGACCTTACCTGTACAGCATGGTAAGTAGATATACATCTGCGCCCTGCGGGTAAACAACCCAGCCGATCTCTTCCAGCTGTGACCCCAGGAAAAGAGATGCTGGATGAGTTTGCCTATGTGGATGACACGGCTCTTTAGGGACTACTCATCCATATAGAGTTGGAGACCCAAAGCAAGAGCTTGCCTCAGGGACAAATTGAAAGAAAATCAGCACACATCACTTTTTTCCAGATATAAGAAACACATTTTTCCAATTCCCTAAATTTTTATTACAAAAATTTTCAAATATGCAGAAACGTTAAAAGATCACTGTGAATACCTTCTTAGGTTCAGTTGACAATTTGCCGTATTTCCTCCAATAAACATGTGGCTTGTAACAATACACTTTGATATGTGAGCTTCTGTTCTCCTTCCTTCCCCTCTTTCTCCTACCCCTACCTAACTGCAGCAGCACCAGATTGATGTTCCCAAGTAAAGCGGGTCTTTTTGCTCTTGGTTTGCATTCCAGTCTCTTCTCGAAGACAAAGGTCTGGCAGAGGTGTCCGAGGTTGCAGAGCAAGTCCTGAGTGCTGTAAATAAAGGGCTCTACAGAGAGGCCACAGAGCTGTGGGGGAAAGCAGAAAAGATCATTGAACAGGTAAAAAGGGGGCAAACTCAGAGGCCAGCCTGCTTGGCTTTTTCTGGTGGGTATAGGGTACGTTGTTGGTATTGTCAAACTTGGGGTCTATCCTGAGCCTCCCCACGTATCTGCAAATGATTGCATGCTAGATAATACATCTCTTGGGTCTGAGCAGTGATGTAGTGGCTCCTTACAGAGTCAGAAAGCCACCCAGGCTTGCAAGACTTGCTTGTCCTTGACTAAATGTATGGATTCTATTAAAAAAAAAAAAGACTGTCTTGCAGAGGTAAGTGTGTGGAGACAACAGATTCCCTTATTAGGACCCTTGCCAAGCAACATTCTGACTCCAGAGAACCAGAAGGAAAGAATGCGCTGGCTAAGGATTGGGAGTGTAGGCCCCTCTGCAGCTCTGTTCTCCTTATAAATTAACACCTAGGCCCTTGGTTTTTTTCCCTGTGGGGCCTGATCACTGCTTGTATGAGATGCTTACCACTCCAGGGAGAGTAGGCTGACACAGCTGGTTTCTGAAACTTCAGAGCTGCATTTCTTTCTTTCTTTCTTTTATTTTTTATTTTTTCCTTTTTTTTTTTTTTTTTGAGACAGTCTTGCTCTGTCACCCAGGCTGGAGTGCAGTGGCACAGTCTCGCCTCACTGTAACCTCTGCCTCCTGGGCTCGAGTTGCTGAGATAACAGGTATGCGCCACTGCACCCAGCTAATTTTTGTATTTTTAGAGACAGGGTTTCACCATGTTGCCCAGGCTCGTCTTGAACTCCTGACCTCAGGTGATCCACCCACCTCAGCCTCCCAAAGTGCTGGGATTACTGGCGAGAGCCACTCTGCCCGGCCTCTTTCTTTCCTTCTTTTTTTTTTTTTTTTTTGAGACCAAGTCTAGTTCTGTCATCTAATCTACACTGTAGTGCAGTGGCCGGATCTTGGCTCACTGCAACCTCTGCCTCCTGGGTTCAAATGATTCTCATGCCTCATCCTGCAGAGTAGTTGGGACTACAGCTGAGCACCACCACGCCCGGCTGATTTTTGTGTTTTCAGTAGAGAGGGGTTTCACCGTGTTGACCAGGCTGGTCTCAAACTCCTGGGCTCAAGTGATTCACCCACCTCAGCCTCCCGAAGTGCTGGGATTACAGGTGTGAGCCACTGGGCCCAGCCAAAGCTGTATTTCTTTCTGATCCAAACAAATTTACAAAATTAAAGCTGTCCTTGGATAAGATAAAGAGCCATGTGCCTTTCTGTGTGGCAGCTTTGATGATAGGAAAACGAAACAAACAGCCAAATAAACTTTATATTTCAGAACACAGACGGGGTGAACTTCTATAACATCTTAACTAAAAGCACTCCCACGTCAACAGTGGAGTCGAGTCTAGAATTCACACAGAGCTACCTAGGTGAGTGAACCTTGAAGTTATTAGTCCCTGCCTCAGCCTCCATGCAAAAAGAAACCTGTTTATAAAAAAAACTTTATTAGTGTATAATTTGCATGCCGTAAAATTAACTCATTGTAAGTGGTTTTCAGTATATTCCCAGAGTTGTGCGGTCATTGCTACAATCCAGTTTTGGAGCATTTCCGTCACGCCAAAGAGATCCCACGTGTCTGCTTGCAGACAGTTCTCATTCCCACTCCCAGCCCCAGGCCACCACTCATCTGCCTTCTGTCTCTTTAGATTTGCCTCTTCTGAACATTTTATATAAATACAATCACACAATAGTCTTTTGCACTGGCTTCTGTCACATAACATGATGTTTTTAAAGTTTAGAAACCAGCTTCCATACACCAAATTACAACATCATTTCAAGGCTGAATTTAGTCGTCTTTCAGCCAACCAAGAAGCGTATAAAGGATACCCTAGGTTCCACTTCTTGGTGATTCTCTTTGGTCATTCTGGAAAATCCCAATGGCCCCCAGGTCTATAGAGTGTACAATCAATACTATTGGGTTGGTGCAAAAGTAACCATGGTTTTTGACAAAAACTATTAACTCACAACCAATGAAGCATTATTTCCCTTCCCACCCAGCTCCCTACCAACCCCTTATTTTGAACCAATTTTGACAAATCTATTTTTTCCCTTTTTTTTTTTTTTTTTTTAAGAGATAGGGTTTCACTCTGTTGCCCAGGCTGGAGTGCCATTGAAATTTAGAAATTTTGCCATTACTTTTAATGGCAAAAACTGCAGTTACTTTTGCACCAACCTAATACTAAAGCCTCTCCACTTTCAATGTGTTTCTGACTTTCTTCCTCCTGCTGGGGGTAAATCAAGGTGACGCTTTCCCTTTTCCAGCTGAATCTGAAACTCTCCCTCTCGCTGTGCAGCATCCCCAGTGGCTTGGTAAAGATGTCCTCATGGCCAGGTGCAGTGGCTCACACCTGTAATCCCAGCACTTTGGGAGGCTGAGGCGGGCAGGCGGATCACAAGGTCAGGAGATCGAGACCATCCTGGCCAACATGGCAAAACCCTGTCTCTACAAGAAAATAGAAAAATTAGCTGGGCATGGGCCAGGCGCGGTGGCTCACGCCTGTAATCCCAGCACTTTGGGAGGCTGAGGCGGGTGGATCATGAGGTCAGGAAATCGAGACCATCCTGGCTAACACGAGGAAACCCCGTCTCTACTAAAAATACAAAAAATTAGCCAGGCGTGGTGGCAGGCGCCTGTCGTCCCAGCTACTTGGGAGGCTGAGGCAGGAGAATGGCGTGAACCCAGGAGACAGAGCTTGCAGTGAGCCGAGATCACTGCACTCCAGCCTGGGCAACAGAGCGAGGCTCTGTCTCAAAAAAAAGAAAAAAGAAAAATTAGCTAGGCATGGTGGCATGTGGCATATAGTCTTAACTACTTGCTTGAACCCAGGAGTTTGAGGCTACAGTGAGCTATGATTGTGCCAGTGCACTCCAGCCTGGGCAACAGAGAGAAACCCTGTTTCTTAAAAAAGGGAAAAAAAAAGATGTGTCAAAATTGGTTCAAAATAAGGGGTTGGCAGGGAGCTGAGTGGGGAGGGAAATAATGCGTAATTGGTTGTGAGTTAATAATTATTGAAGCCCGGTATGGGTACATCAGAGCGTTGTGCACTACTCTTTTGTGTCCATTTGAAATTTTTCTTAATAAAAAATTAAGGTAAAAAAGCTACATCCAGGGCCACAGTTGGATGAGATTTCGTTGCAGATGAGATTTCATGCCAAAGGTCCTTGCAGGATGTCAGACAACCCAAGTGCTTGGGCAGATTTTGACCAGCTCTCTCTTGCTGACCTCCCCAGGCATCCTGACGCTAGATGTGGCCAGGCATTACTGCATTCTGGTCTCAAGGCTGTGGTGAGGAAATAAGGAAATCCTTAGAGACCAGGGCCAGGTAGAAATCTTGGATAAGTTCCTACTTTATTCCCGTAGGGTGGCCTTGAGCAAGCAGAGATCTCAGGTTTCTGAAGGGAAAACACTCCGAGCTAAAGAGGGTTTTGTTTCATGTGTGTTCAAGATACCCCAAGGATATGGGGTCAGTGGTCCTGTGGCTGCTGCTGGGAGCGTACGATTTGCGGCTGCTGGGAGCTTTCTCAGGGGACATGGGTCCTCCTCTCCCAACCTGCAGTCACCAGAGGGCTCATTCTATCCCTGGTTTTTTCATTACTCCTGACTGCTGAGAGAATTTTAGAAATGAAGAAAAATTAGCTCAAATAAAAAGAGCTGGGTGTGACTGGGTGTGGTGGCTCACGCCTGTAATGCCAGCATTCTGGGAGGTCGGGTGGGTGGATCACCTGAGGTTGGGAGTTCGAAACCAGCCTGACCAACATGGAGAAAACCCGGCTCTACTAAAAATACAAAAGTAGCCGGGTGAGGTGGCAGATGCCTGTAATCTCTGAAAACTCTATCTGAAAAACAAAAAAAGAGTTGGGTGTGGTGGTGTGCACCTGTAGTCTCAGCTACTTGGGAGGCTGAGGTGGGAGGATCGCTTAAACCTGGGAGGTAGAGGCTGCAGTGAGCTGAGATTATGCCCCTGCACTCCAGCCTGGGTGACAAGGTGAGACTCTGTCTCAAATAAATAAATAAATAAATAAATAAAAATTAAATTAAAAAAAAAAAAGACTTCTTATCTCCTAGGACAATGAAGAAGAAAATGGTATGTTGCTTGTCAAATGCCTCCTTGGCAGTGAGTAGCGAATAATGGTGGCTGCCACTGTTATTGCTGTCATTCAGTGTTTTGATAATGCTGCTGGGCAGGAGCCAGCGAGAGTGCCATGCTCACTAGCTCCTGTCTTGCCTGGGGCTTGTTATTCATTTGGCTTTCCTGAGGGCCAGCTCTGAATTGGTTTAGGTTTGATCTGGTTTATTATAAGGTAGGCCCACTTGTTCAGGACTTGAAACTTGGCCCTGGTGTTACTCAAAAAAACAGGAAAACTGACATTGGCCCAAAGCACAGTTTATTCCCTGAGTGTACCAGCCTAATGAGTATTTCCTGGGTCTCTCCCTCCCTGTTTCCTTGGACAGTAGCCTATTCCAGGTGTCAATTCCTCATTAAAGATGGCGCCTGCTATCATCTCAAGCTCTCAAGAGAATGGACCACATGAGCTATTTATGTGTGCCTTACACCTGACCAGTCGGCACAAATTTCTGGGTTGGTTCATCCCTGGTTGTGAAGCATCTGTGCATTCAGTCGTTGTTCGGTGCTGGAGCCCAAGATGCTCTGGGCTGAAAGGTATCTCCTGTTTTGGCAGATTCCAAGCTACTCCCTCTTTCTCCTTCCCCATGTGCAGGCCAGGCTGCCAACGTCTTTGTGAACATGGAGGAGGACTTCATGAAGCCAGTCATTAGCATTGTGGACAAGTTGCTGAAGGCAGGGATCAACGTGACCGTGTATAATGGACAGCTTGATCTCATCGTAGATACCATGGGTAGGAATTGACTCTGAGGGGCACATAGAGGCAGTTTTATGGGTTCAACTGGAAGGGAACTGGCCTTGGACATGTCAGTCTTGGGGTGGATGATGTTGACATGCCAGGAGGAAGGCCATTTCCCATTACATTCATCTACCCCTGACCTTGATTATTCAAAGAGTGGGGAGCTGCATGTGGCTGTGACCCCTCAGAAGCCTGGGCCTATCCGGGTTTGGGGGCCCTTAGGTATGATTAAAGAAAAGAACAGCACCTGTCTCTACCACAAAACTTAGACATTTTCCTGGTTATTGGGCAAGTACACTATTTAATTAAGGGAGAGCCTCATTTTTGTGCGACATCACAGTCGATGTTGACCACTGCAGAGTGAATTAAAACTAAACCCTAATGACCGTAACCCTGAAGACCCAGGGGAAATCGTCTTTGTGGAATCCCGACTGCTGCCCTGTCACCTACCACCTATTTAATTTGCTCACTTGCAAATTAAATAGGGCCTGGTGGAGGCTCAGAGACAGGTTCCCTGACCTGGCAGGCTAATTGAGGCACTAGGTCTGACGGATGTGATGCGCCTCGTCAAACCAGAAGGATTGAATATTTTTGTGACTGGTAAGCAAGGGACACCAAGGACAATTTGGAAAGCTGCTGCATTGCTCCATGAACAGCCCAGGTGATCCTTATCACTGTCTCATTCCTGACATCTCTCAGTCCTCCTCATGGGGCTGTCTGCCTCCAGAGGTCCACAGTTCCCTTCCTAAAGAGCAGATGGCAGGGAGAGATACAGAGGCAAAAGCAGTCAGGCTTTGCAGCTGTTAGGTTTCTCCCAGCAGCCTAGGTTTCACTGGGAGTCAGAAATGCAGATGCTCAGGCCCTATCCTGATCTTCTGAATCCGAATTTGCATTTTAACAAGATCCTGAGTGAGTTTCATGCATACTGCAGTTTGGGAAGCACCAGCTTTTAGGACCTCGACTTTTTTCCTACTCTACCCAGCTGTTCATGCCAGGCCTTTCTCTTTGTCCTTCTCACCAGGTCAGGAGGCCTGGCTGCGGAAACTGAAGTGGCCAGAACTGCCTAAATTCAGTCAGCTGAAGTGGAAGGCCCTGCACAGTGACCCTAAATCTTTGGAAACGTCTGCTTTTGTTAAGTCCCACAAGAACCTGGCTTTCTACTGGATTCTGAGAGCTGGTCACATGGTAAGAGACAGCTTTTGTTCCAGACTTAAAAATCATCCTGAGAGGGAAGCCACAGGCAGTTCTATGTCTCTGTCCGCTGCCCAGGCGGGTCTTGTAAAAAGTACGAGGGCCCGAGGGCCAGGTGTGGTGGCTCACGCCTGTAATCTCACCACTTTGGGAGACCAAGGCGGGTGGATTGCTGGAGCCCAGGAGTTTGAGACCAGCCTGGGCCACATGGAGAAACCTTGTCTCTACAAAAAATATGAAAATTAGACCAAGCACAGAGGCTCATGCCTGTAATCCCAGCACTTTGGGAGGCTGAGACGGGTGGATCGCTTGAGCTCAGGAGTTCAAGACCAGCCTTGGCAACATGGCGAAACCCTGTCTCTACAAAAATTTACCAGGTGTGGTAGCACACACCTGTAATCCCAGCTACTTGGGAGGCTGAAGCACGAGAATTGCTTGAACCCAGGAGGCAGAGGTTGCGGTGAGCCAAGATAGCACCACTGCACTCCAGCCTGGGCAACAGAGTGAGCCTCTGTCTCAAAAAAGAACAAAAATTAGCCGGGCGCGGTGGCGCATGCCCATGGTCTCAGCTGCTCAGGAGGCTGAGTGAGGTGGGAGGATTGATTGAGCCTGAAAATTAGAAGCTATAGTGAGCCAAGATCGTGCCACTCCACTCCAGCCTGACAGAGCGAGACCCTGTCTCAAAAAAAAAGAAAGCAAAAGAAAAAGAAAGAAATACTTAGGGCTTGGGAGTGTTTTGAGTTTCCTAACAAAATTCCGCTATTAGCACTAGGCACTGCGAGCACAAGGGTGAGTGGTGCCCAGTCCCTGTCCTCAAGGAGCTTGTGGTCTAGAGACAGACAGGCAAGGAGACTGTCAACAGCAGGGGGTGAGCAATGCTAAGAGGGGGCTTGGCCCGGGGAAGGGTGCCCTGCCCAGGCTTGCAGATCTGGAAGATTGTGCCCCACGTGGTGCGTAGGAGTGATTTAAGGAAAGAGGAGGAGGTGGGGAGCATGGAGAACAGTGAATACAAGGTCCAGAGGAGCCTCAGACGGCGAGGCCTTGGAATGGACACTGGAGGGAGGTGACTGCAGAGGGGAAGTTTTCATACCACACTAAGGAGTTCAGACAGGGCACCAAGCAGGGGTTTTAAGTAAGGGAGTGAAATTAAGAGATTTGTCCAGGCAATACCATTCTAGCAGTAGAGGGCATGGGGCAAGCCTGGGGCCAAGGACCAGTCAATGAGGCTGTCAGGTAAATCCAGAAAGGAGGAACGTGGATGGATTTGGTAAAGTGTAAAGAAGGGAAAATTGGCAGGACTTGGTAATCATTTGGGGTGGAAAAATACTGAAGGGTGGCTTGCAGGTTTCTGCTCCAGCATCGTGGTTTGGGATGGAGGCAGTTTGCACAAGCTGAGTTTGAATTGACTATAGAACAGAAGGCAGAAGAAGAGCCTACTAATGAGTCTGAGAAAGGAGCAGCCAGATAAGTGAGAAGGGAGACCAGGGATGCGTGGCATCCCCAAAGCAGGGAGGGGTCCGTAGTGCCAAGTGAGAACTCAGGGGAAGGGTTGGAACGTGAGTGGTGATGTGCTTACACCGATATCCTTGGCACCTGCGTTGGTGAGATGTTTTGGTGAGGTGGCAAACTCAGAAGCCAGAATGTAAAGACTGGAGAAAATGAATGAGTAGTGAGGAGAAGAGACAGCAGCTTCCTTTAAGAAGCCAGAGAAGGCAGCCCACTCTTAAAAGACACTTAATCTAGGCTGGGTGTGGTGGCTCACACCTGTAATCCCAGCATTTTGGGAGGTGAAGACAGATGGATCACCTGAGGTCAGGAGTTCGAGACCAGCCTGGCTAACATGGAGAAACCTTATCTTTACTAAAAATACAAGAATTAGCTGGGCATGATGGTGGGCACCTGTAATCCCAGCTACTCAGGAGGCTGAGACAGGAGAATCACTTGAACCTGGGAGGCGAAGGTTGCAGTGAGCCAAGATTGTGCCATTGCACTCCAGCTGGGGTGGCAGAGCGAGACTCTGTCTCAAAAGTAAATAAATAAATAAAGAAATAGACTTAATCTAAAGGGAGAACAAACAAGGCGCAGGGCACAGAGGGAGAGGGCATTATTTATGGCTGTCAGGATTTGAGTACCTTCAATATTGACTTAAAAAAAAATTAGGAAGTCTTAGAGCAAAGCAGTGTTACGGATTGAGTACCCCTTATCTGAGATGTTTGGAAACAGCAATGTTTCAGATTTTTAATTTTTTTGGATTTTGGAATATTTGCATATCCATAATGATATATCTTGGGGATGAGACCCAAGTCTAGGCAATGGAATTCATTTATGTTTCATATACACCTGTACACATAGACTGGAGGTACTTTTGTACAATGTTTTAAATATTTTTGTGCATGAATCTACGTTTGTGTGCATTGAGTTATTAGAGAGCAAAGGGTGGCTGTTTCAGCCACCCATGGCTCTTCAACCAATCTGTGGCTGTTGGGCATCATATCATTTCTGACTCCAAATGTATATGCTGCCAATAAGCAATCTTTTTCTTGCACATAGTCACGCATAAGTACTTCACAGTAAGCAATACAACATACCATTAATACAGTGGAAAAATTGTGTGTTCAGAGTAACTGAGCAGCACAGTAGCATCACCAGAATACCTGTGTCAGCTGCTAGACAACATCAACAGCAAGCAACAGCAGCTTTCAGTCTCTACCTACAATGCTGTGTTTTGATTAAAAGGTTACTATACTGTAACCCCCTTGGGGATGCAGAAATAAAGAGTGTGTTGTGCGCCTGCATTTTGAATGCAACCCCCCATGGGGCAGGTGTGAAATATTCCACTTGTGGCCTCATGGTGGCACTCAAAAAGGCTGGAATTGTGGAGCATTTTGGATTTTCCAGTGAGGGATGCTCAACCTGCACTAGAGAGAAGTCCCTGCCGAGGCTGGTAGGAGGGCATGGAACAAGCCAACCACACTCTCATGTCCTAGAGTTCGGGCCCGTTTCCTCTTGGTTTGACACATATAGAACAACGGATCAGTTGGGGACAGGCTTAAAATAGCCCTTGGAGACTGTTGTTAAGTCGTCCCCAAACCACTTCCCCTTTCATTAATTAAATGACATTTTGGGATGCCCTACCGTGCCGGTGCTTCCTGGGGACTCTTGGCGGAAGAGTCAAGGATGGGTGTGCCATAGAGAATCATGGGGCCAGGGAATTGCAGAACAGGGAGACCATATACTCCAACCCCCTCTGTGTAGGGGAGAAACTGAGGCCTCTGCCCTCCCCCCTTTTGATGCTGTGTGGGAAGGAAATTTTCAAGGACTTACTCTAAAAATCTGGGGGAAAACCAAAGAAAGTTGAATACCAGTGTGAAAATCGGATCCCATCCAAAGGGCCCTGTTTGTTTTTATTATTTGTGGCTCTCTCCTGTGAGCTTCCTTCTCAGCCATTTGTCTGTTCTCAATCCGGGATCCCTTCTAGACAGACTCCTTTAAAATGTTTGGAATCTTCCTTCTTCCTTGAACAGGCTAGGTCTCAGTATCATGAGCATGACCCTTACCAAGAAATCAACAGATCAGCCCCATATGGAGTAGAAGGTTCTTGCCTTAAACGCTGACTTCTCCAGGTCCCTGCCACCCAGCCCAGTCAGGGCCCAGAAGAGCTTTCATCCAGTGCAGGAGTCATTTTCAGGAAGGACCCTCTCTCAGGGATGTGCCCAGGTGTCTGCACAGGTTGCTGTCACAGAGCTGGCTCCCTTTTGGGAGCAAGGTTTCAGGATGTTGCCTCTGACCCCAGTCCTAGGAATAGCACCAGGAGCACTAACTCAGATGTTGTTTTTTTCTAGGTTCCTTCTGACCAAGGGGACATGGCTCTGAAGATGATGAGACTGGTGACTCAGCAAGAATAGGGTGAATGGGGCTGGAGATGAGCTGGTTTGTTTGGCCTTGGGGCACAGAGCTGAGCTGAGGCCACCGAAGCTGTAGGAAGCTGAAGCTTTAGGAAGCGCCATTCTTCCCTGTATCTACCTGAGTGATCAAGAAGGTTCTGACCAGTTGCCGCAGAGGATAAAAATCATTGTCTCTGGAGGCAATTTGGAAATTATTTCTGCTGCTTAAAAAACCTAAGATTTTTTTAAAAAATGGATTTGTTTTAATCAAAATGAAGGATGATAATAATAGATTATTACTTTTTCTTATGACAGAAGCAAATGATGTGATTTATAGAAAAACTGGGAAATACAGGTACACAAAAAATAAATCAACACCTGTATACCCCCTTCCCAGGGTTACCAATTTAGCATATGTCCTTGCAGATTTTTTTTTTTTTTTTGCTATATATACATATATATTTTTTACCAAAATGAATCATTACTGTATGTTGTTTCACTATTTGTTTGACATATCAGTATATCCAAAACACCTTTTCATGTCAATAAATGTTCTTCTATAACATTTTTAATGGCTGTGGAGCATTCTACTTTATGGTTATACGCTAGTTTATTTACAAAATTCCCAATTGCTTCCGACAAGTATAATAATTTCTGGTTTGTTGCTATTATACACAGTGCTCTGTTGATTCACCCTGATAGGTAGATTTTTTGTACCTCCTTATTTTCTTAGAATAAATTCATAAAAGTGTAATTATTTAGTCCAAGGATTGCCACATTTCCTTAAAATCAAAATAATTAGCTCAGGACTTTTAACTTTTTATTCATAGCTCAAGATCTACATAAGAAAGTTCGACGCTGTGGCTCACACCTATAAACCCAGCACTTTGGGAGGTCGAGGCAGGAAGATCACTTGAGTCCAGGAGTTCAAGAACAGCCTGGGCAACGTAGGGAGACCCCATTTCTACAAAAAAAGTAAAAACATTAGCTGAGCATGGTGGCACACACCTGTAGTCCCAACTACTCGGGAGGCTGAGGCAGGAGGATCACTTGAGCCAGGGAGGTTAAGGTTGCAGTGAACCATGATCAAGCCACTCACTGCAGCCTGGGTGACAGAGAGACCCCCATCTCAAAAAAAAAAAAAAATCTGCATCGGGGATCTAATAGCTTCTAGAACTGTCTGAAAGAAATACCACCTCTTGTAGTTGCAGGGCTGATGTTTTATTTATGTATGTATGTATGTATTCATTTGAGACAGGGTCTCACTCTGTGACCCAGGCTAGAGTGCAGTGGCACAATCATGGCTCAGGTGATCCTCCTGCCCCAGCCTCCTGAGTAGCTAGTATCATAGGCGTGCACTACCGCGCCCAGCTAATTTTTAAAATTTTTTTGTAGAGTTGGGGTCTCTCTGTGTTACCCAGGCTGGTCTTGAACTCCCAGGCTCTAGCAATCCACCTGCCTTGGGGTCCCAAAGTGCTGGGATTACAGGCTTGAGTCACCAAGCCTGGCCAAGGGCTGAAATTTAAAATAATAGCCGGGGCTCATGTCTGTAATCCCAGCACTTTGGGAGGCCGAGGCGGGCAGATCACAAAGTCGGGAGATCAAGACCATCCTGGCTAACACAGTGAAACCCCGTCTCTACTAAAAATACAAAAAAAAAAAAAAAAAAAAATGAGCCGGGTGTGGTGGCACGCACCGGTAGTCCCAGCTACTTGGGAGACTGAGGCAGGAGAATGGCGTGAACTTGGGAGGCAGTGCTTGCAATGAGCCAAGATCGCGCCACTGCACTCCAGCCTGGGCGACAGAGCAAGACTCCGTCTCAAAAGTAAATAAATAAATAAATAAAATTAGAAAAATAAAAAATACAAACCCAAAGCTTATTGCTGCAGACTGTGAGGAAAGAGTTAACAGCAGGTTATGTCTACGTGACCAGCCCCTTCAGACCCTGAGACTAAAAACAGTCTCCTGGGGCAGAGACTACACATGTCCCTGTGGTTCACGGTTAGCAAGAACTCCAGTGTGCCCGTGGAAAGGAAGAACTTTAGAAGCCTGTGCTGGATACCCCTGGATATCACCAATGTGTATCCTTTTTACCTGCTGCTTGTGATGTGCATCTTTTGTTCCAAAAAGTTAGCTATTAGTATAGCCTGCTACTGAGCCTTGTGAGTCTTGGTGAACCATCCAACAAAGCAGTGAATTCTAAAACAATTTGAATTCCCAACCTCACAGAGTCTCTTCTGTTAAAGGTTAGTGCATTGGTTGGGAAGAAATGTAATTCTGAACATTGAGATGAGTCACCTGGGCAGATTTCAATGAAGCTAGGGGACCTCAAACCTTTTTGGCCATTAAAAGCAGCCCTCCCATGGCTGGCTGGGCAGGTTAATCGTGTCTTGCCCTAAGACCCTATAGTAAATTGCTAGACTTGCCCAGGGCTCTTATTCCTGCTGTGTAACATTCTCCCTCAACCCACACCCCTACCTTCCTAGGGAATCCCTGTGATCAGTTGACAAGGGAAGGCAACTCTCAGGCTTGATTTACAGACAGTGCTCCACAGAATGCATGCATCACCTGAATGTGCATAGAGCTATAGCATCATGGCTGCACTCCAGGACAGCCCTGAAAGATGGTGTGGAGGGAAATCCTCCCAGTGTACAGATCTTGCAACAGTGCACTCAGCTCTTCATTGTCCGTGGAAGGGGAAATAAACAGAAGAACAAGTCTGCTGGTTTAGCTGGGTATTCAGGGACTTGGAAGAAACTTGATTAGAAGGCTGAGCACAGTGGTTCATGCCTATAATACCAGCACTTTGGGAGGCTGAGGTGGGAAAATCCCTTGAGAATCCCTTGAGTCCAGGAGTTCAAGACCAGCTTGAGCAAGATGGTAAGACCCTGTATCTACAGAAAATAAAAACATTAACTCAGCATGTTGGTGCACCCCTGTAGTTTCAGCTACGTAGGAGGCCGAGGTAGGAGAACCACTTGAGCCCAGGAGGTTGGTTGAGGCTACAGCGAACCACATTTATACTCCAGCCTGAGTGACAGGGTGAGACCTTGTCTCAAAAAGAAAAAAAACTTGATTAGAAAATTGATGACTCAAGCCTGTAATCCCAGCACTTTGGGAGGCCGAGACGGGCGGATCATGAGGTCAGGAGATGGAGACCATCCTGGCTAATGCGGTGAAACCCCGTCTCTACTAAAAAAAAATACAAAAAACTAGCCGGGCGAGGTGGCGGGCGCCTGTAGTCCCAGCTACTCGGGAGGCTGAGGCAGGAGAACGACGTAAACCCGAGAGGCGGAGCTTGCAGTGAGCTGAGATCCGGCCACTGCACTCCAGCCTGGGCGACAGAGCGAGCCTCCGTCTCAAAAAAAAAAAAAAAAAAAAAGAAAATTGATGACAAGAAGCTCTGAGGAAGAGTTACGAGACTAGATCTCTGAATGGCCAAGTATGAAGATCATTGTTTTCCACTGAATACTCAACTAGGGCAAGGGAAGATTTTAATAATCAGGTGGGTAGTTGACCCATTCTGTGGCTATTAGCCTCCTTCAGCCCCTCCTGTAGACTCATGAACAAAGTGGCCATGGTGGTGGGGATGGAGGCTAGGCATGGGGTTGGCAACATGGACTTCCACTCACTAAGGGTGACCTGGTCACAGCCACTGCTGAGTGCCCCATCTGCCAGCAGAAGAAACAACACTGAGCCCCTAATACGGCATCACTGCTGAAGAGATCAGCCAGCTACCTGGTGTTAGGCTGATTACATTGGACCACTTTTATTGTGAGGCAGACAGCACTGTGTTTTCAATGGAATTAACACTTGCTCTGGACATAGATGTGCCTTCCTTTCCCACAATGCTTCTGCCAAAACTAGCATCTGTGGACCTACGGAGTGCTTTATCCATGACCATGGTATTCACAGCAAATGAAAGGCAGCAGTGAATTTATACATGTGGAATTGACTGGTCTCACCATGTTTCCCATCCTCTTGAAGCAACTGCCTTGACAGATGGTTGAATGGCTGAAAATTCAGCTACAGTGCCAGCTAGGTGGGGATAGATTGCAGGGCTGGGGCACTGCCCTCCAGTATGTGGTATATGCTCTAAATCAACAGCCTTGTTTCTCCCATACCCAAGATTCATGAGTCCAGTAATCAAGGGATAAAAGTGAAAGCGACTCCTCTCACTGTTAACACTAGTGATCCAGTGGTAACATTTTTGCTTCCCATCCCTGCAACTTGAGGTTTTGCTGGTCCAGACGTCTTAGTTACAACGGGAGAAATGTTTTCTCTAGGAGACACAGCAGATAATCTATGGAACTGGAGCTTGAAGCCACCATCTGGCCTCTTTGGGCACTGCATCAACAGGCAAAGTGCTGCCTGCAGTGATTGATCCTGACTATCAAGAGGAAATGGGGTTACTCCTACACAATGGACGGAAGGAGGAAGAATGCAGGAGATCCTTTGGGGCACCCCCTAGTACTGCCATATTCTCTGATTAAGGTCAATGGAGAGCTACAACAACCCCATTAAGACCGCTAATGGCCCAGACCCTTCACAAAAGAAGATTTAAGTCATTCCATCAGGCAAAAAGCCATGGCCAACTGAAGTGCTTGCCGAGGCCAAAAGATACATGGCATAAATCATAGATGAGGGCAGTCATAAGTATTCTGACCTTGTGACCCACTGTAGGAACGAGGACTGTAATAATTATGAGTATTTCTTTCTTCTGTTGATGTGAATCTATTTTAATAAATATTAACAAAAAAACTTTTTTTTTGAGACAGGGTTATGCTCTGTCACCCAGGCTGAAGTACAGTGGCACAATCACAGCTCACTGCAGCCTTGACCCCCGAACCTTCCAGGGCTCAAGTGATCCTTCCGTCTCAGCACCCCCAGTAGCTGGGACTGCAGGCATGCACCACCATGCCCAGCTAATTTCTGTATTTTTTGTAGAGATGAAGTTTTACCACGTTGCCCAGGCTAGTCTGAAACTCCTGGGCTCAAGTGATCGGCCCGCTTCTGCCTCCCAAAATGCTGGGATTACAAGTGTAAGCCATCACCACATCTGGTGAACCAAATATTTTTGGTTTTATCTCTCATTCCTTTTTCATCTCTGATGTGCTCATAGTATTTAACCTTTTTTATTTTTCTTTTTTAAGACAGGGTCTTGCTCTGTCACCAAGGCTGCAGTGCAGTGGTGCAATCATGGCTCACTGCGGCCTCAATCTCCTGGGCTCAAATGATCCTCCCAGGTAGCTGTGACCACAGGTGCACATCGTTGTGCCTGGATTTTTTTTTTTTTTTTTTTTTTGAGACAAGATATTGCTGTGTTACCCAGGCTGGTCTTCAACGCCCGGCTTCAAGCAATTCTCCCGCCTTGGCCTCCCAAAATGCTTGTACCTAACTTTACATATAAATATTTATATTACAAGATGTCAAGGAAGGAATGTGAAACAGCTAGTAAAAGAATGAACATCATCCAAAGACAAAAAATGGATCTTGATGGTCTTCTGGGGAAAAAGATGTGTATTTCTGAGTGTAGGAGGGACAGTTGTGTCATGGTAAGCAGAGTATGACT